GAAAAAAGGAAATGAGAAAATTTAAACTTTTAAGGATAAACTGAAAACTAAATGATTGTTTTACCAACTTGAATGTTTTATTTGTTTTTTTCATTTTTTATCATTGTTTCATTGTGTTTTTGTTTTGTTTTGGCATATTAACACAGAACGGGACATTTTCCTTTGACGTGGTTTTGCGTTGTGCAGATTCTACCTGATTTAGCTCTTGACCAGATTAAAATCTAAAATCTTGGCTCTATTATGAGCCTCTCAGTCATGCGCTGCACAAAGAGAGCTGAAGAACCCATCAACGCTCTGTCAGAGTAGAAAGCAGATCTGTACAAGTCAAACGCTGGAACTTTATGTTCACAATGACAAAGCATAGCTGCATTCAGAATATTTCACTTCCTCCTTCCTGCATGTTTAGTACCAAAGCCGTAGTAGTATATGGACTCGCCAACCACACAGTCAGTACATCCACTTAACTGCCAACCAGAATAATATCCACTGTAAGTAGAAAGATGTCCATATACTTTCCTTTGGTCCTGTCTATGTTTTTGATTCTAGTTCTGCTTCCTGATTGGTTGTTGTGATGATTTCTGTGCAGACTCACCCGTTTTTACCTTGCAGGCAGCCACCCAAAGCTAAAGCTAACTCTATGTCTAAACAGAGCAGCCGCAGCAAAAGGTAATCTGAGGATACACAACTCATTTGGTAGATGGATGGTGTCTAAAAAAAAAAAAAAAAAAAGCATACATCACCTTGCAGAGTAACTATGAAACTGATCAATGGATTTAATGCAATGGAGCGATGCAGTGTATCGCAAACCTGTGAAGTAGAAGATAAAAGTCTGACATCACAATTTCTATCTGACCTTCTTCCATTCATCCATAACTGTAATGGAGTCAAATCACATTAATGCAACATTAGGCTGCTTCTTCAAAAATGAAAAAAGTGACTATTGGAAAAAAAAACAATGATGTTGAACAGAACTTTAGATGTGATTATTTTGTCTAACTTGTTTATATATATATATATATATATATATATATATATATATATATATATATATATATATATATATATATATATATATATATATATATATATATATATATATATATATTAAAATCTGACATATTCCGTCCGCCTCCCTCAGGTTGTACCTGGAGCGCCAGAAGAACCTGTACCTGCTCCGCTCTGTGGCATGTTCGGGGTCAGAGGTTCACCTGGCGGCCTGCCCCCTAGAGTTCAACAAGCCAAATGCCACGGCGACCTGCGCCGGCGGCATGCCCGTCGTCGTGAGCTGCATGCCCGGCCCTCTGTTCATGCAAAACAGCTCTCTGAAAAAGAAAGTTAAAGTCTCGGTAAGGAGATCCTCAGGAACAGAAGCCGGCTAAATGTTTGTTCGTCTCTGCTGCCCAGATGTTGAGCTGTTAGCATTTCGTGACGGCAACGGTGTCTTCAGTCAGAGGCTTCTTTTGATTTGCGGTGAGACTGACTGCTGCTGGAGGCCCTTCCTGCCCACAGCGTCAACGCCTCAAGAACTTTCTGAGGAAATTTGAATGAAATGAGTTGCATTTAATTTTCATTTTCAGCAGAATAGAATTGAAGTGAATCAAACTAAATTGAATGAACACACAGTCAGGTTCTCTCCATCCTATTCGATGGATTCATTTGTCAGATTCATAAAGCTGGTAGAGGGAAAAGTCGCCCAAAAAGTCCTGATTCAGGAAGGATGAGTATAAATACACACCATGCTATATTTTGGAGATTTTTATTTATTAAATGTATCATCTTCCTTCCATTTCAGAGTTAAGCCTTTTGGCCAATCTCCTCAAATATCATTATTGAAGTTTGCAGGTATTTCATGACAAAATGCAAAAAGGTTCAGGAATATGGACGCGTCTGGAAGGCGTTGCGCCCCAGCGACAGCAATGCCTTTCAAACGGAGCGGTGAGGACGTGCCAGGCTGCCTCCATGTTCACAGACTCATGCAGAAACGCGTCTCCATGTTGTTGTCAGAGCAACGTGAGACTGAAGGGCGGCGCCAGGCTGGGGGAAGGCCGGGTGGAAGTGCTCAGAGACAACGAGTGGGGGACGGTGTGCGACGACCGCTGGAGCCTGCTGTCCGCCAGCGTCGTGTGCCGGGAGCTGGGCTTCGGCAGCGCCAAGGAAGCCCTGACGGGAGCCCGCATGGGACAAGGTGAGCCCTGACGAGCGGGACGACTGATCCGCACTGCACCTCTGAGCTCTGGTTGTTTGTGTAAATTGTAATTTCAATTAGGGTTTTTGGGGGGTTTTTTAGGTTCATGTGAATGTCACACAACATATTTAGAGCTATGTTGTGCTTTTCTTGTATTCATTTCAATAAGTTTCACAAGGATTTCTGAAGTGTTTGAAATAAGATGTGCAAATTACATTTTTTCCTCTCTAGTTACAAACTTTAATTCAATAATCCTGATATCAAGATTCAAAGTGCAAGTATCACAGCAGCTTAATGGAAGAGTCGTGTTGTATCGACTTCCTGGAGGCGGATTGTCGGAAAAAGCAGGAGCTTCTTAAAGAGACAGAGGCCCAATTTCAATGCATTAAATTGCTAAGTCAAACTTATTTTAAGTCGTGTCAGATATATACAGGATTTTTTTCTTACAACTGAAGGTAACATTATTTGATTGTGTTATAATGAAAAATACATGACACTGGCCCTTTAAGAACTATTTTATGTTCTCTCAGTGAGAACATTCGCAAACAAAAAAGTCTAGTGATGCTGCACAGGAAAATATCAAGCGCTACATGTGGAAATGTGCGTAATTATAATCTAGGACTTTCCTCAATAATGTTTTTTGGGTGAACAGGCCAGAAACTCTGCTGTGGAGGAAAAAAAGCCCACCTTTTCTGCAGCAGTTCTGGGAAACACCAGGAAGTGGTTCTCTTCTCAGAGAAAGTTGGATCTGTTAGAGGAAGTGCTGTGGTTTGACCAATGTCTGACCAAACGCTGCCTGGACGTATCCGAGACTTTCTAATGGAGGTCAGAAGCACGAGTTGCTGAAGGACAGCCTTCAGTAGCCCAAAACTATTTCTAGGGGGAGGATTTCCAGACCAACACAAGACATGAAGTGAATGAAAAATAAATACTTCATTTTCTAAATTTTCTTGAAAAGTGAGTCCAGGCTTTGCAGATCCACTTGCAATAACAGCTGCAGGAATTTTCTTTCTCTTTAGTTATTTTACACCAAATGGTTGTTTTTTGATTACCATTTTAGAAAAAAAACATAAAAAGAATGAAGCTTTTTTTTTTTTAATCTTTATAAAATAGCTTACTCTTGTACAGATTGTGTGGACATGAATTTTTAAGACTCACCATAGATCCTTAATAAAATTTTGGGCTAGACTTTGACTGTGCCAAAGTTTTTGATGTTGATTTTTTCCCCCTTATTCCTTGAACTGTTCTGACCCTAGAGTTCTTTTCCCAGGTATGGGTCCGATCTACATGAACGAGGTGAAGTGTGTCGGGAACGAGAAGTCGATCTGGAACTGCCCGTTTAAAAACATCACGGCGGAGGATTGCCAACACATGGAGGACGCCGCTGTTCGCTGCAACATCCCATACATGGGCATGGAGAACTCGGTCAGACCGAACCACCTCACCCACGCGTTCATTTCTACTGCTTGGATGTTTCATGTCACGTTGTTTGGTTTTATTTTAGCAAGTAAAAAAAAATGACAGTGAGTTTTTCCACGCCAGGTTGTATTAGTTTAAAGTGTTTATGGAACATGAGAATGGAAAAAACATCTAAAATATCTGTTCTTCCCATTCCTGGTAGTGCATTCATTTGTGTCTTTATTACCAAGTGCATCTAAAAGAAAACTTTAATATTATGAAAAAGTTCAGTAATTGTCCCTTTTCAGAATGTGAAACCTGAATAGATTTATGACACCTAGAGAGAAATATTTTCAGCCTTTTTATCTTGTTGACCATGGAGAACAAATAAAACCCAAAATTCAGTGTCTCAGAAAATGTGAATGTTACATTAGATCAATTAGAAATGTCTCATTTGCTGATCGGGATGTGCCGCTATGACTCTGGTAGCATATGAATTCAGCTTCTGGAGCCAAAAAACATTACTTTTCACAATATTCCATGGTTTTTTTTAGATGTACTTGTACATAGATTTGCTACTCTGACACAAGTCTGTTGTGGAAATGTGAGATGCAGAGCTAACTGCAGGAGCTACTGAGCTAGTTAACTAATTAGCTAACTTCAGAAGCTAGTTAGCAAACTGCAAGAGACATAGTTTACTAGCTAGCTAACTGCAGAAGCTAGTTAGCTAACTGCAGAAGCTAGTTAGCTAACTGCAGAAGCTAGCTAGCTAACTCCAGAAGCCACCTAGCTAACTGCAGAAGCTAGTTAGCTAACTGCAGAAGCTAGTCAGCTAACTGCAAAAGCTAGTCAGCTAACTGCAGAAGCTAACTGTAGTTCGCTAACTTTAAAAAAAAAAACCTCACATTTGTAACTTACTAATCTTTAAACTCTTTTAACCTCCTCAAAACACATATTTTAAGGTAATGTATTAGCGAAGGCAATTTTCAACATGGAGTATTTATACTTGCACAGCTTCATGTTTTGTTTTTTATTAACCTGGTCTCCAGTAAATGGTGCGAATGTTTTGTGTAAAGTCTACCCTTTCGTCAATGAAAGGAGCAAAACTGAAATCTTCAGTAGTGACTTTGAGCTTTTACACAAAACATACAAACATATTTATGAGGAATTTGCTCAGTTGACTGCTTTTTAGCATGTAGCCTAACCCCCTGGTCTCACACAGATCCGGATCACAGGCGGACGGAGCCGCTTTGAGGGCCGCGTGGAGTTGCTGAGCTCTGACGCTAACGGGACAGAGAGCTGGGGTCTGATCTGTGGTGAGACCTGGACCACCAGGGAGGCCATGGTAGCCTGCAGGCAGCTGGGTTTGGGCTACGCTAACCAGGGCCTGCAAGTAGGTTGTTAACAAAGACAATTTGCTGCTGCAAAGCAAGTGTTTGCTTTCTTTTGCTTTATATTGCATATGCAAATTTAATGTACTGTCAGGTGAGCAGTATTTTTTTTTATGTTGCGTTCTTTTTACAGAACCAGTGGAAAACTAACATATTCTCACTGTGGCCTTAAATGGGTGATGGGTTTGGACTTCTCTTCTTTTTCAGTGTAGAACAAATTATGCAACAAATCACTTAGATACATTTCAACAAGAAGAATTACACCACCACAAAAAATGGATAAAGTCCTTCTGTAAGTTCAAAGAGAGACCATTTTTATTAGTACGATTATTTTTATTTTTCCTTCAATATACCCTGCTTATGTGTTTTTCCACAAAGTCAAAGTGAGTAAGAGAACCGTATTTTATAGCACAAACTTATTGTATGAAAATATATATTTACATTTTACCCAGGAAAGGAAACCTTTTGGAACCATTTGCACAGTGATGTCATAATTCTGCCTGGATATTTGACCGATCAGAAATGATTACGTGGTTCCTGGCATATAGACGGATTTTAACCATAGATGGTCCACAAATTGTCCATAAGTCTTTGTGCATCCTTAAAAAAATCTTTAAAAAGTTTTAAATTCATTAAAGAAAATGTAGGTTGGCTTTCAATATGTTATATATTTTGTCGTGGCAGGACTATGTAGTCATATATGTTCTAACTAGGTTTTAATTTGCAGGACTTTTCCAACTTCACCTAAAGCCCTAGCTCTATGGCTAGCTAGCCAGTTAACTAAAGAGCCATGTTAGATGTGAAAAGCACAAAACTATCAAGAGCCACAAAAAGATTTTTGTCCCCTACATTCCTCCTGTGCATCTCATGATGTAGGTCTTACATTTTATTCAAAATGGACTTGAAAAGGGTTTTACATTTGAGTCGTGAAAAACGCAGAAACCTAAATAACATTTAGAAGCTGACTTTCGAACCGACACTAATCCAAACTATCAAAAACTTAAACATTTTACTGAGGAATATAATATTTAACCAAATATAACTGGACCTGTATATGAACAGTTGGACCTGTACATTTGGACTCTCCTCTTGTTATTTCAATGTATTGAGGTAGTTTCTTGCAGAATCCTTCCACCGTGCAAAAAGAACTGTTCAAATCTATGTGTAAGGAGCTGAAGCGTATCTCACATCCATGGCCCACATTGAGGGTGTGTAAAGTTTCTGCCTGTTTGGCAGAAACAGGCAGAAACTGTTTCTATATAATTATAGAAACAATATTACCAGACATAATGTGTCTGGTAATATAGTTACCAGACATTGTTCCCAGTAACAATGTGTCTGGGAATCTAATGTTGTGGGTTAGCCGCAGTAAACCCACATACTGATGTCTGTGAATTTACTGCCTGGTCAAATATACGACACTGGGAGTCGTTTAATTACATCAATTGGCTTTGCTTTAATTCAAATGAGAAATAAATTGTAGTTTTTAAAAAATATATTTTCATTATCAAAGCTGCAGTATGTAACTTTTTATAAGAAATATTTTGTTGACAGTTGTTGAAAGTGTCACCACGTTGCAACAATACGGCACGAGACAGAAAACTTGTGAAAAAATCAAGTTCCTCTGCCTTTTCCTAGAGCTAACTACAAACAAAAGGAGGCGGGCCTTAGCGCTGTCAATCACATCGCTTGCTGCTTTGCTGATGCTAAGGCCAGTTAGCATAGACATTGTTGATGACAGATAAAGGGTCTTGCTGTGACAGTAAATTGTTTCTCCGTCATTAACATATTTAGCAGGGCGTACATGAGGATGATTGACAGCGTTAAGACCCTCCTCCTGGCTCTGATTGGTTTGTTTTTGGGGCATTTCTTTCAATGGCAATAGCAGCTCAGAGAGGAGTTGAAGGAGATTGTTTTCCTGTTTTTTCTTCACAATGAACTGTCACAACATGGTCCCAGTTTTAACAAATATGTTTATGGTTCTATACAGTATGATTATAATTATGCATATGCAATATATATCTTTCTGAACATGGAATATTTACATAGTCGCCACAGGCCTGTTCCATGTGGAAGAGCTAAAAATAGCGTTATGCAGAGCTTCTAATCAAAGTCAGAGCTGCTCACCACCGTGACCTCATGTGGAAACCACGCCGATCCCCTCAGCCCCAGCAGACTAACCAGCACATTTTCCGTCGACTCCATATAAACACCGGGTAGTCTTTAGTTTAGTCGTAGACAGGACAGGAAGCGTGTCCCCCGTCTGACTCCCAGCAGGACGCTTCCGCAGATCCGGATAGCGGGCGGCCGAAGCAGCTACGAAGGCCGGGTGGAGGTTCAGGTCGGGTCCAAGTGGGGCACAGTGTGCAGCACAGGCTGGACGACGAAGGAGGCCATGGTGGCCTGCAGGCAGCTAGGGCTCGGCTACGCCATGCACGCCGTCACCGTGAGTAGGAGCTGAAAATGTGTGCCACAGCTAGAAGACAAATGTTTCATCACCCAGTCGATTAGATAAGCAGGCCAGCTAAAACACTTGGCAACAATGGCTCATTATTCTTCCCATCTGATTATGCCAAATTGACTAAAAGGTAAAAATTTGCACCGACGAGTTGATGAGGATCGGAGTAAGCAACTCAAATATTTGGAAGTTATCTTCTATGAAGAATGATCACAGTAGAGTTAATAAGAGTCTTTCACAAAAAACATAAGCTGGTGTCTGAAAACAAGTGACAGTAGGGGGCGCCATCTTAAAGCGCCAACAGCAGAGCTGCCACGTAAAACCTGAACACTGAGGCGCTGCGTGTGAATCTGTCCTGATCATCATGCACTGTTTCTCTCCCTTTCTTTTGTTCGTTTATTTCTGTGTTATTGTTTTTTTTTTTGTTTGTTTGTTTTTATCCGCCGGTAAGGAAACCTGGTACTGGGACAGCAGCAACGTCACAGAGATGATGATGAGCGGCGTGAAGTGCACAGGAAGTGAGATGGCTCTGAGCCAGTGCCAGCATCACAAAACCGTCAACTGCCAGAAAGCGGCCGCAAAGTTTTCAGCAGGAGTCATCTGCTCAGAGAGTGAGTTAAAGCCCCAGAATCAACCACAAGGGGGCAGTAACTAGTTACATTTTCTAGAGTAACTTTTAAGATGTTTATAGGACAGGAGAATGGAAAAACATCTGAAATTGAATTGTGGAAGTGTCTTCCCCAACAATTGACACACATATTGTTTTTTTTTATTTTCTATTTCATATTAATCCAGATATATACGCTTTAGGATGAAATGTTGAAACGAGATAATCCCTCAGCCCAGTCTCTGTTGCCCCCTTGTGCGTGCAGCCGCCTCTGACCTCGTCCTGAATGCCTCCCTGGTGGAGCAGACGGTCTACATCGAGGACCGTCCTCTGCACATGCTCTACTGCGCCGCCGAGGAGGACTGCCTGTCCAAGTCAGCGGCCAAAGCCAACTGGCCGTACGGACACCGGCGGCTGCTCCGCTTCTCCTCCCAGATCCACAACGTCGGCCGGGCCGACTTCAAGCCCAAAGCCGGGCGCCACTCGTGGGTGTGGCACGCCTGTCATGGGTAACATACAACGTAAAGCTGGACATGAATTTGAACACAAGACAAAATGAACAGGAAACAATGGAAAATATGTGACAGAGCAAACATATTATTACTTTGTGTTTTTGTGGTTGGTTAAAATATCCTTTGAAGGAAAGAAAGATTATAATTTGATTATTGTTATAGTTTGACTGGTAAAAATAGTGCATGACCGATTTATTTATATAAGCACATCAAACATACATGTTTCTCATTTGTGGCCCCCCTGAGATAGCCCTTTGGCCCCCCCAAATTTAAAAGTCTAGCTCCACCACTGTCAATAATGTGACAGATTTTTCTGTGTCTTTGTTTGTGAAGCGATTGGAAAACCTTTCATCTCTTTTCTACCTTGAGGTTTGTGGCCATAACATGACAAAAAATGTAAGAAAGTGAATATTTTTGACAGTTTCGGAAAAGACTAGAGCAACATAGCAACAAACTACCACAACTTTCAACACTATGTTGACCTGGAAGTGGATGATTTTCTGGTTTGGGTCTAATTCGTGCCGCTCTGACTTTTCACTCAGCCACTATCACAGCATGGACATCTTCACCCACTATGACCTGCTGAACGCTAACGGCAGCAAAGTGGCAGAGGGCCACAAAGCCAGTTTCTGCTTGGAGGACACAGATTGTCAAGAAGGTCAGTTTGATGCTTTGACTAGACGAAGTAACAATCTGGAAAAAAAAAAAAAAAACATTTTATTTTGTGTCATCGTCACCCAGAGAAGAACTTTGCTTATGACTGGAAATTATACATTTACTTATTTATTTGTATTCCATTCATGTGGACAATTATTTTTGTCATTTTCTGTAATAAGTGGATAATAATAATAATAGCAATCAAAACTTTTCATATTGACCAGTTACTCAGCTTGTGTTCACTGCTGAGCTCTAAGTATTTACAGGTTCAGGTCCATCAATGGTACATGGAGCTTTTCCAGTCCTTTTGACAACTCCAAGCACTTTGTAAATTAATTAGTACCAACATGTGACAAGAGGAAACAAGAGGAAACTGAAATCAAATCCAAAACCTTCCAATTGGAAGACGATAGCTCTACCTACCCACTGAGCCGGAGTCTTCCATCCAAAGATTTTCAATTACCTTTTTGGATCCAAAACATTGATATTACTTCCAGTCTGAAGAAACATGCTGGTTAAACCTAAATCTGCCAACAATGTGAATAGTTTGGGTGAGCCGTGAGCGTTCAGTTGACGTCTTTAGGCTCCCACGGTAACTCCCACCCTTTATCCGTGTCCATCAGGTGTTTCGAAACGATACGAGTGCGCCAACTTCGGCGATCAAGGCATCACGGTCGGTTGCTGGGACTTGTACCGCCACGACATTGACTGCCAGTGGCTTGACATCACAGACGTCAAACCTGGAAACTACATCATGCAGGTGAGTGGGGTTTCACTTGGAGCAGGCAGCCGGCCAGGTGCCGGCGTGACCACTTTGAATCACTGACTTGCAGTGACTTCCTTCAAATCCTCTGATAACTCAGTGACAGAGTTGCCCACTGGCCACAAACCATCAACTCATCAGCTGCTGTTACCAGGCTAGTTTCTGTTGGATGGATATTTAAAAAGGGGGGTGAAGAGTAGTGGACCGAGAATTAAACCTTGGGGAACCTCATCCAGATTCTGTGTGATATTAACTGGATCACCTATAAATCAACCGGTTGATAAATTGACTCCTTAATTTTGGGTGATTGACAATCGGCCGATACTTTCATGTGAAACCGATCTTATCCAATGATCTCATCTCCGCAAAGGTCTGAAAAATCAAAACATTGATATAAGTAAGGATCTGTTTTAAAGATCGGGCATTCGGTCAGAAAAATGCGATTGTTGCACACCTATGATTTGTTATCTCATTCAACATGACCTGTTTGTCAAAGTTCAGGATCTTTCTACAAAGATTTCTCAATGAATTTTAAAAGTTGAAACGTTCGATTACTTTAGAGTAGCCAGCATTCGTCATCTATCTCTGCTTTTTCTCGCCCGTTCAGATCGTAATCAATCCGAATTACGAAGTGGCCGAGAGCGACTTCACAAACAACGGCATGAAATGCAACTGCAAATACGACGGACACAGGATTTGGCTCCACAACTGTCACATCGGTAACCACGCAGGAACAGCCAAGCTGTTCAAACTTTCCGTAAAACTTGTTGAAATTCACTAAAGCTGCCACCTTTCTAATGTCTTCCAGGTGACGCGTTCAGTGAGGAGGCAGAGAAAAGATTTGAGAAATACCCCGGACAGATAAACAACAGGATCTCCTAACTGTGGACGCCGCCTCCATTGTGGGATGGATGAATAAAAATACGCCTCCGTATTTCTATTGGTTTTCAGGTGCTTACATGAATCCCCATATTATTCCTTCATAGTTGTGTTTTTATACTTGAATATTCAAGTGGCTTTGATTATGTCCTCTAGTTTAATGTGAGTTTGTACTTACTTTTTTATTTTTTTTTATTTTTACAAATTCAGATTTTATAGTTTTTCAGTCGATGTTTGACACGATGTACAGTCCTCTATTGAATGTTTTAGTTGCAATGAAGCTTTAATGTTTTGGCATAACAAAATTAATTTGCCTTTAGAATGCAGAGTCCAAGCATGAAACCCAATAAACTCATGTTTAGTTCATCTTAAGCAACCAAAACATGAGCCAGAGCCCCAGATATCTGGTTGAGTTTGTGGTTTCAACAAGAAAAAATAAATGGTAAACAACTTTTTCAAGGTACCCGAGAAGGGAACAAATTTACCAAGATGCATTTTATCAGTGTACTAATGCTGCCAAAGTGTATGTACTGTACAACAATGACCTGTTGTTTTACTCCTGTAAGCGTTAAGCTACAGTTTGATCAGTAAATGTGATTTGAACGCAAACCTTTACAAAAACATCCAGGTTTTCTGTCTCCCATCCCAATTTTGGTTCTGCAAATGTATGTTAGAACTGCTGCAATATGTAGTGAATGTATTTATTTCCAGTATGCGTTCATCAGCAAGTGTTCTCTCCAGTTCAAAGCCGTGCGTCGCTCCAGGCTGGGTTTAGCTCCTCCGCATTGGCAGAAAAAAACATGAAGATGTGTGTATGTATTGCTGATATAACCACACCTGTTGCATCAAATAAAGCTCAATTGAATGATAATTCTGCATTTTATATATATATATATATATATATATATTTTTTTTTTTCTGTTTTAACCCTATGTTCAGATCTCAGAACATGAGTGATGTTCTGACTTTACGGGTTCATCCCAATCCACTGATAATCCCGGTCTTCAGTGACCAGAGGCACAATCCAATTAACCTCTGTTACCAATCACATTAACCGTGTTCACAGCTTCACACCAGATTACTAACCGCTGCCAGTATGAAGCAGCGGTATTATTTTCCACCTGTTGTAAGAGAAGTAATTCTAATCCAGTTTAGATTTATTGGATGTTGTATGAATATAAAATGAAAGTGGTTCTAATCTTGTTCTCATTGACTAAAGCTGTTATTGATTTGCTCAGAGGCTGAGGCAGGTTTCTGGAGGGTTATGCTAACCGGGCCTGATAGAACATCAGCAGACGAGTTGTCCAAACATGAGCTGGTACGTGTTGGTTTGAGGTTGTAGAGCGCCTCCTAGCGGCCAAACAGCAGAACTGCAGGAAGTGTTTGGGCGGCGTTGGCAAACTAAACTTCAAGAAAAAATTTTTTAATACAACTTGAGTTGTTTTTTATTATTCAGAAAGTGCTTGGTTTGTAAGCTCCTCTATGTTTGCTGTTCTTTCTCTTGAAGATGTTCACTAATTTTCTCCAAGTTAGAAAATAGGACCAAAAAAAAAAAAAACTGACGAAACGAGAACAAAGAAAAAATCTTTGCATTTTGTGCAGTTGTGTTTCGTGATAGAGTGATAAGAATATGTCAGAATTATTTTACAAATATCTTCCTGACATATTCTGACAAAACATGGTTAACATTTAGAAATGAATAAAGTCTGATGTGTGTTACATATCACCTTTTTATATGTTTATGTTGAAAAAGAAAACATTTTTACAATAATATACACTACAGATGGAGGCATGAAAAGGACGACAGAAGTCTGATCTGAGTCTTGATGGGGAAAAAAAACACGCAGACGTGAACTCAGCCGTTTCACTGCAGCACTGTCCTCTTGACCACTTTCCCCTCTTTGTCGATGGCAAAGTTGTAATTCTTTGGATTGTCCAGCGCCTCATCGATTCGCTGATCCAGGTTTTCCAAGGTGACAAAGTTTTTCGCCTCCTCCTGTTAGCATTCAAAACAAACGAGATTAACTGGAGTTTAATATTTGCTTTGTTTTATTTATTTCTTCTCCTGGCTTATTGTTTACTGACGATAACCGAGGCTTGTGTGTGTGAGAGATCTTTTTACCTGCAGCTTCAAAATCTCTTCCTCTTTCTGCCTGATGAACTCCTGTTGCTCCTGTTCCCGCTGAATGGCGGCTTCCATTTTCTTCCTCTCAGCTTCCTCCTCTTCCTGTTGGATCCTCAGTACTCTAACATGAGAGGATTGAACCGAGTCGTTTAACTGAAACAGATCGCATCCTAATCTTGAACCGTTTCTCTTCGATCTTCCCTACCTGGCTTTCAGTAGCCGCAAGTTTTCCTGATTATTCCAGTCCATCAGGGAGCGATGCTCCTCCTCTTCCTGTCTCGCCCTCAGTTCAGCCTGGGCGCCCATCTCCTCCTCGTACTTTTTGCGCAGCACCTCCTCCTTGAACTCCATCCTGACAAATGAACACCATCATGTACTTTTTTTTTTAGGTCTGTGTTTTTTTTTTTTTTTTTCAAATTTGATAGAAATAAATAGTGACAATCTTGTAATTCCATTTCTTGTTTGGATTAAAACTACTGACTCGGTCAAATAACATCCAGGACATTTTTTTTCTGTTGCACGTGCAATAGTTATTATTGATAACTGCACGTGCAGTGGGGGGATTTGAATCCGTTGAAGCTGATTTTTCCAGATCTAAAAACGTAAGTTGTGTTCACAAAAAAAAAAACCCTGATTGGTGCGCTCCCAATGAACGTGAAAGAGAAACCGACCCTTTTTCTAAAATGCTATTGGCCTTTACTGGCCTGTCAATTTACGAATGTATGTCTTTCCCTTCTCTCCTATTTCCTGTCAATTTACGAATCAGTAAATTGACAGGAAATAGGAGAGAAGGGAAAGACATACAGCACAGGGGCAGAGACCGGGAATCGAACCCGGATCAACCGCACCGAGGACAACAGGTTCTTCTAAATGTGTGTATAAATTTGTAAAAAGACTCATTTTTTTCCCAAATTGAGTGATGCGTGTGTTTTTAATGCAATATGCGAAATATAAGCACAAAATAACTGATAAATCTGGTTTTCCTGCATTCATTTTCGGGTCAGAGTGACGGTCATTAACTTGGAATAATTCAACTGTGTTTCTGACCGAAACGTGACCCCTGACCTCCGGGTAAACGTACCGAAGCGCCCTCATGATGAGCTCGTACTCCGAGTATCTCTCCTTGAGCACCACCATCTCCACCGGGTCGACGGCTGAAGGCACTTTGATCCGTCCTTCTTTAGATTTGGCCACCGGGTCGGTCCGGGACTTTCGGCCCCGGACAGCCTCCACGAGCACGGCGCTCCTGGGCGCGAGCAGCCGGGCAGCCTGGACGCTCCGTCCCCCGAGGACCTGGAACATGTCGGTAGCTGTAAAGGCCCAGTCAGCAACTGTTCTTGCTAATTTAAAGTGCCGCAGGGTTCAACTAGCAACAGTATTTAACATTGAGAAGCAAGCGTTAGAGACGCAACATGGCAGCCATGTTTGTGCCCTATGACAAGCGGAAGTAATTAAAAGACAGATGTTTGCAGGTTCTGTCACTGCCACCTGTCGGTCATGCTGATGTATTGCGCTTCGTATTGTTTAAAACTCGAGCGAGCTCTTTATGTTGAATATATTTGTCGAATGTTTGCGGGCAAATGCAAACTTTTATTTTTATTCACCATTTTGGTTGAATGCATTCAAGCTTAAGTTTTTTATGTTTAGGAAAAATGACAAAATACAAAATAATTTTTATCTTTACACTGACAGCATCATGTAAGTATTTTGTGTAAATATTTGAGAAAATATCTCAGTAAAGTATTTTTGAAGAGGGGGTTTCATGTTACAAAAACAAACACTAATGCATTGTATGGCATTCTATTTAACTGACGGGTTAGATAAAAAGACAGCAGATGTATGACAGAGAGCACATTTTCGTCCAAATTTGATAATAAAATATCCAGACGGGGTGCATATTCTTAATGGTAACAAGTTGTTCTTTACTCATCATAACTTCTATGTTCTTAGGTGTTTATTTTTATTATTACTCACAGGGGAAAAAATGGTGCTTTCTTCTTCTTTCAGGGAAACATCTCCTCCACTGTTACAAGGCCAGTGCCTTGTGACAGCTGAAGGACTGTGCTGATGTTTTCAGTTCCCTAAGTGAAGTGAAGTACATCAAAAGTTGCTTACTCGTGCAGTCACATTGCTGCATCTGCAGTCAACTGTGCATTCTGTTTCTTTCCTCGGGATTTAGAGTTATTGTTAGAAGTTGTTTATGATGCTGCAGGCCGTCTGTCAACTCAGTACAAATCGATACGTGCTTTTGGTGTGTCAGTCCTTCACACTGTAAGCGGGAAGAGATGCAAGTAGGATGCTGTATGTACAAATTTAGTTTGCCAAATTTCTCTTGCAAAGCACAATATTTGAGAAAATGTTTCTGGTGCCATGCATTACATGAAACGTATAAAACAGAAATCTCATAATATGTTTCTCGTGCCAGATTATCCAGTCAGGTGACAAACAGATGATGCACATGTCGCCTTTTATCTTCACGGTTTGGAATATGGCTGAACTTAAAATGAAACTTTAGGCTTGAATGCCTTGTAAGGATGTCTGAGTTATAAATTAAAACACAAATACACAGATGCAGGTCAGTTATGTGTTTATTCAGCTTGTTGTTGGTTGTTACAAGGACAAGGACACCGATCGTTATGGTGCCGACTTTGTACGGTTTTCACAGGTGTAGATCTGAAATCAACCGGCAAAGAACAAGGGGTTCCCGTAGATAGAGCTGTCACGTTGACATTTTTCTCGTTTTTAATGACTTTGTGGAGCAAATTTGGCACAAATCGTCTATGAGACAAACAATTCCTCAAGAGAAAACTCAAATATTTTATTGCATTTACGTGTCTGGAAGTTGGGTTGTTCATTATTCATCCAAAGAGCCAATTATCCAGTCACAAAGAGCAGATTCACCCAATTTTTGTAGTACCATATTATAGAACAGAGTAGGACGTGTGATCATCAGTTTAAAAGAAATGTTTAAAGTTACCACCTCTAAACTATTACCGGAAAACCAGATGCAGGGCATTGCTTCACTGATTGGTCGGGTTCCAGGTGGAAAAAGATTATGCGGCAGATAAGATCCAAACATTGAGAGATGACTGGATTTCTTTCCGCCTCCTTCACAAACAGCTGGTCAAATGTTCGGATACAGAGGGATCAAGAAAGTCCAGTGGCTAACCCTGTTGCTTGGACCTTACCCTGCCTTAGTGGAGAGGAACTCAGCCAAAGCAAAACTGCCTTCTGCTATTATTACATAACTAATGCAGTCCAGCCACTCTGTGTTGGACAGGTCGTCGTCTTCATGATGCGTGGTGTCAGGACGTGTGTAGAAGAAGGGGGACTTCTTATGGACCTCTTGTTTAGCACAAGGGCGCTGCCGTCTTGAGAGAGATGAGTTTCTGTTTTTGGTATGTTTCTTGGGAGAGTTGATTGATGAATGGTTGTTTCGGAGAGACTGAAGTTAGAGGAAAGGTGAGAGGGGGATAAAGAATGTTTGGGAAGAATATTTAAGGAAGAGAAAAGGGTGGGCTGCGTTTCTGAAGATATCAGTGTTACGGTACGCAGACGACGTTTAGGTTTTAATTTAGAGCTGGAAGGGAAGAGTACGTCAGTCGAATCTCCTCCCCCTCCAAGAGTTTCCTGAAAGAGAAAAAAAAGACAAACAGAGAATATGTATCAGATAGAACATAGCGAGTGAGTTTGCTTACTTAGAGCAAACAAAACAATGTCTCACCGGTACGCTGCGATTTCAATGTCAAGGGCCATCTTGACATTGAGAAGGTCTTGGTAATCTCTCAGGTAGCGCGCCATCTCTTGCTTCGCCTCAGTAATGTCCTGCTCCACTTCACTTATCCTCACCTACAAGTAGAAAAAAAAACACAGCTCCTCATCATCACAAATGATAGGAAAGTTAAAATCATAATGTAGCATTCTGATTCAGACTCATTCTTACCTGGTATTTCTCAACCTCCTTGGCCTGGGTGTCCTCCAGATCCTCCAGTTGCTTGTTCAGGAAGTTGATGACATTCCGGAGAGCTTCAATCTCAGACGAACAAGACTGAAGCAGCCTCCGGTACTCCATAGTCTCTTCTCGGATGGCGTGGACAGCTTCGTTGTTCTTGCTGGCCATCTCCGCCACACTCACAAACTTGCTCTTGTACCAGTCCTCAGCGGCCTGCATGTTCTTGTTGGCGAGCCGCTCGTACTGCGCCCGGATGTCCCGCAGGGCGGTGGAGAGGTCAGGCCTAGACAACTCTATGTCAACGCTGATGTTTGCCACCTGCAGCTGGGCCTGGAGCTCCACTTGCTCTTCTGCAAAGACTTTCTTCAGGAAGGCTATCTCGTCACACAGAGAGACCACGGCGGCCTCTGTGTCACAGTTGTAGAGGACGGCCCGTCCCGCCTCCTCTCTGGCCCTCTGCAGGCCCTCCTCGGCATCCAGACGGCGCCTTGCCTCGTCTTCGTAGCGTTCCTTCATCTGCTCGTACACGTCCCGCAGGTAGTCCCTCTCTGCCTCCATCTGCATCTTCTCGTTGTTCTCCGAGTCGATCATGGCTCTCAAACTCCGAGCTTCCCCCTCATAGAACGCCTGCAGCCGGGATGGGTCGTTCTGCCTCCTCCTCAGTGCGTCCAACTCGGCCAGCAGGGCTCGGTTCTGCAGCTCAAGGTGCCTCACCTTCTCGATGTAAGTGGCGAAGCGGTCGTTCAGGTCCACGAGCTGCTCCCTCTCCTGGGACCGCATTTCCAGCAGCTCGGTGTTGATGGAGCTCACCTGAACCAGATCCATCCTCTGCGAACCGTCCGGCAGCAAAGAGGACGTCGTCTTCAGGATCCTCTTTCCGGCTGGAGGAGCTCGGGGAGAGGAGAACAGAGAGGATGACATGGAAGACTTGGTGGTAGGTCGGGAGCCTTTGTAGCTGTCCCAAGGATATCGGTGGGAGAAGAAGGACTCGTAGCTCATGATGATTTTTTTTTGTTGTGTTTTTTTTTAGGGTTTTAAGAAAAAGATGTATGTTTTAGTTTCGGAAGGTTGTTTTTTTTTATGTCCCCCTTGTTCTGCACACCATCGGTGAGGATGAGTGTGCGTTTTGCACTGCACCAGTTCAGTGATGCTGCAGATCCCGAGCCTTTATAGAGTGAGCCTGCTCCCCCCTCCTGCTCCACAGAGAAACATCACTGGTGTCAGCATTTGCTGGACCAATAGCAAGCCTCTGCAGTGAAGGGAGAGGAGGTTTTCAGACTCTCTCTCTCAATCTCTCTCTCTCTCTCTGCAAGGCAGCGATAGCCGATGATTCTTAATTCTGCCTTTAAGACATGGAGAGCTAAAACATTTAGCTCTCATTTACTGTAGATTTTTTTCTTGGTTATCATCTAGTTTTTTTTTCTGTTTCCTTCTGTCACTGAGAAAATAAATCGAGCAACAGCAAACGTGAAAGCACTGAACTATCCAGCCATTCATTTTCTTACACCCTTGTAAGAGTCGGGAGGTGCTGGTGTCTATCTCCAGCTAACGTTCTGGGTGAGATGCGGGGTCACCCTGGACAGGTTACCAGTCTGTCGCAGGGCAACACAGAGACAGACAGGACAAACAGCCACGCATGCACACGCACGCGCACGCACACACACACACGCACACACACACAGATACAGATTTCTCTTGCTATGCTTTTTCAGAACAGTGCATTGACTTTAATTCATAGAGTTCAGTTGAACTCTGACCCTTCACCCATTCTACCCAGTTCTGTCCTTCACACCATCAACCCTCTATCCAACCAGAAACTCTGCCTCATCAGAACCAGACTTCTGTGTCCTTGAGGATGACTGGTGCCAATAAAAGTCTTTTCAGACCAGGAGGTTGGAAGGGATCTCTTTGTCATAAGAACAAAGAAGCCACATTTTCTACAATTATACCTGATGCTGTAGCAGCTGGACAAAGAGTAGACTATAGAGGAGATGGAAGACAACTCCACCATCTGCATGTGTTTCTGTTTTTGGTGAAAACAGTGAGGAAACATAAACTGAACTACGGGAACTCTGCTTGTATTACATTATTTTCACAACTTTACCACTGTTCAGCAGATAGCTGAATATATAACCTGACAGTTATATCTAATTCAAGTGTTTATTTCAAACATTTCTTGTTGAGTAAAACTGATTTGGAAATGTTTCCTTTGGCCGAATTAATTTTGTGACGATGGGATTTATTTTTGCTAATCTTCTTATTTCATTATTTAAGAAACCAGAACCTGTTGTCTATATGATCACATCATTTTCACCAATATTCCTCATGACGCCATCTATTATGCAGAGTGCGCCAACCTCTCTTGCAGCTAAACATCCCCCGCACCATGTTGCTGCCGCCCCCATGCTTCACAGTAGGGACTGTGTGACTTCTGAAATGTTTTAGGTAACCCTGAGCTGAAACAGGAAGTGCTGG